TGCTGTACCGTTCTTGATGATATGCGTAATGTCGAGGAGCAAGAGTGATCTCCCGTTAGTTCTCCCGTGATCTACAAGTGCCCGTTTGTGTCCTGCCGTCCTGGCTTTTTTCTCCGAGCCGTGTCTGTTCGGCCCACCCAAAACGACAACATTTCGAATTTCTAAACATCCAAACAAGGAAGGAACCCCCCAGCTTGAAGTGATGGAAACAGTGGGCAGAGTAAAGGAGATGGGAAGACGGGTTCAGGGAGTGGTTCTCGAGCGAAAAAAACTTCTTCGCCCAGGGATGTCATCCGTAAGGGGGGAGGGGAAGGAGGAATAGAAGCAGGCGATATCGAATTCTGCTCGCCGTCCGATGTTCTGATCCAATAGCATCAAGCTTGAAAAGAAGAATCGCTCGCTTGGTCGGTCCAGGGAACCAGCTTGGTGAAAGGAGATGTTGAATGGAGGCTCAGGGGCAAGTTGGTGGAGGAAGTTGCGGTTCACTTTGAGTGCCCAGAAGAAGGGGGACGTTGGATGGGATGGAGTTGGAAGCGGCGCTAGGAAGGACCGGGGGTAGAATCGGGGCAATCGGGGGGAACGGGGGGGGAGGGATGGCAGCGATAGCGCATGATTTTCGCGGGGGGTCGAGGATCAATCGGACCTGGCCGCCGTGGTCATCGGAGAATTATGGCCAATCGGGAGGGGCATCTGTACGGTTCTGCTTATATAATGTTGCGGCTGCGTCCCACTTGGCCGTTTGAAGATGCCAGCGCCTTTCTCCAGTGGCATCCACGCCAACTTCATCCCAAACACGGCGAAAGCCCCTGACCTGGTTGTTCCTGTTTCAGCTGATTTTCCAAAGGGGAAAGACTCAGCCTCGTCTCAACTCCCCTTTCTCTCTATCCAACGGGTACCTGATTTTTATCTGTAGAATGTGGCTTCTCAGGTCGTCCCTGACCAGATGTTCCCAGTGATTCCAGGGCTTCTGGACTCTGCGGATTCTCCACTCATCCAATCAAGTTCCATAGTGTTTCCACCCTCCATCAACTTCACCCCTACCACACCTTCAGGCTTCACCCCCTCATACGGATAGGTTCTGATTCTCATTGTTCTCACGAAAAAGACCCCAGATCACGTGCAGCCAGTCTCCTGATTGTTTGACCACACGCCTCTTTTCCTTCCTTTTCCCTCATGAACTACGCCCACTCACACCCGATTCTTCCATCTGATGTCATGTCGTCCAACGCCCCGGACCTGGCACCCCTGCTCTGGTTTCACGAAGGCTAATTACAGGAGGCTTCTTTCGTGCAGACTTGGGACGACTGTGGATCACTCACATTCTCTCGACTTACAGCCTTCCACCACCCCCTTCCCGACCCATCGCCTGTCAACCTTTGGCCCGATGACATAACGACAACCACATAATGGGGAGCGTTGGCAGCCTCCCTCGCATGTGCCGACAGATGAATAGTAGAGCAGAGTCACATCTATTATAGCTCTCAGACCCATCCTCCCCCCCGGACAGTCAACTCACGACAGCTTTCGGAGATTCTTCACTGCAACCTTTAATGCATCATCACTACCGTGGTTCGTCCGCCTGCCGGCCCTCGCTCACTCGCATATTTTGTGCTGATCACCATGGTCCGCTCGTCGATCCCGCGCACACGTCAAACCATGAATAAGGCCTGGCTTGTGCGACCCATGCGGGAGATCAATGGCTGGTCCCCCTCCCCCTCCGCCGCCGCCGCCGCCGCCGCATCCTTCTCTCGGTCTCGGTGGTCTTTCCCCCCAACTAGTACCCTGGCTACCCTAACAACACTCTTGATTGTTTAAAATTGCAGAGGGGCCACATACGTCTTTGGATGAGACCGTTCTTGTAGCATCATCCCAGAATGAGCAACCAGTTCACTCTGCGGTATAGACTCTTCTCGGCCTCCGCGATATTTTGACTACGAATCTGACTTCTTGGCCTCTGTCTCTAGCAGTCTAGCTCGGCGGATCGATGATGAATCGCCATGTTCGCTCTAATGCAACTCTGACGGTGAACGGCTATCCTTGGCGAGCGGGCCTTTGTGGAGGTCTACTATCTCCTTCTTGACCAGTCAAGGTCTTTGCAAACAAGGTACTCGTCTGTCAGACTGTCCCTAGAGTCATTGACTCTGCTAGATGCCCCGAGGACATCCCACCAGACCTGATCAAAGCGGATACTGCCTCGCAAGGCGCGCAGCAAGAACAACACTAGATCGAGGACCATCAAGGAAAGAGGCTGTCACTCGTGCTCAGGATGAACCCACGGCGAGCCCTCTGACAAGCTATGCTTCATCCAAGCCTGGTAGTCCCAGTGAGAGACAGCAAGAGATCCAGCTTACCGGAGACGTTAGCGTAGACATCATGAGGATGGAAACGCCGCCTCCAGAATGTCTGTGGTCGCCCGCTCTCTCCGGAGGGGGGTGGTAACGCCCTAACCCGAACTCCCCATCCTGCAACCGCCACCGTCAGATATAGCAACATAAGAATGCGTCTAGACCATGAAACCGGCCTTCTGGTCAGAGTCATCAGCCCTGTGTACGACACCGCACCCTGAATCAGGGATGCTGCCTCCCGTTCGCAGATCATCTGCGAGACTAAGCTGCCTGAGCCTGCCGTCAAAAGTCCGGCATGAATGTAAGAGCCGGGGTGGTGCTGCTGCGCCCTCTCATGATCGAGTCTGGAACTTCCGCACCTGTTTTGTTGGTGAGGTGTTTTTCTTTTTCTTTTAGAAGGAGCACAGCCAACCTACATTGCATCATCGATCTTGGGTTGTTTGTACAACCCCCTCGAGACACTCGATGCGCCCTCTTGGGGCTTAGATTGTGGCATTGCTAGTGACGAGCATTTTTTCAAGTTTTTGAGCAGGTTTGACTAGACTTGGCAACAGCATGTTATGAGAAACACTGAAATCTGCCGAATGCTTAAAGTACAGTGGCTGGCCGGGCTAGCCGCCTACTACTACAGATATACTCGCTGTCAATAGGTCTATTGTCGAAGCCTGCTGTCAAACTCGAGTATTGCCCCGATAGCTCTACCCACTAGTCAAAGTTTCTAGACTGTGCCATGTCAAGACTTGACATCTTTTCACTTTTTGATGTGCCGTTAGATCCATCACCAAGTCCGGCAGTCAATTGATGGTACTTGTTGAAATGCCAGCCCAAACTTGGTTACCAGGTAGAAATGGGGTTACTACTTGGAACGATATTTGAACCTGCCTAGTACATCTTGGAGCAATATTCATGCACTCCAAGCACTTGCAGTATCTCGAACGACTGTACCGCATACTGACCTGGATAAATCCTCACGTGTCCTTAAATGGAGGTCCAATACAAGTAAGAATGAGGGAATGAAAACACTTGATTAGTAACATAAGGATTGGACCACGGGGCCAAAAGTCTGAATACAGCGTCAACGAACCGCCAGCCAAGTTTACCAAAACCCAGCACAGAAAGGTTATCGTCATCAACCTGATGAACAATTCCGAAAACAAGAATAAATGCCGAATTTGCCGGTTGATATTTAATATGCCAGACTCCGGCGTAAACGCCTTTTACAGTTTAAACGCGCAGTAATTGGGTGCGGTGCTTCTAGTACCTGCCTGACCTGTGAGATGGTGCAGCCAAATTGTCTGCGCCATCTCTAACATTCGTAGAATACCAGGAAGGAGTGGGAAAAGCTCTGCTCAGAGGATTTTCCGCGCGTGTAAAGCTGTCAGGCGGTCGCGATCGGAGCCGTCTTCCGGTTTGACTCTCCCTGAATTGCGGTCGCGAGTGGAGACATGTCACCGGCCCGGTGCTTTCGCTCGGGCCGGAGCTCCGCGAAAGCTCGGAGCCAGGAACCGGGCCGGGTGATTATGGTAAAAAGGAGTCGAAATAAAGTTAACCCCATAAAGAGGACGCAGGTGACAGGACGGAATCTTCCTTGAAATCAATGAATACCTTAGCCAATCTTACAGACCGTTCCTCTCGGAATATCGGGAATATTAGCTAAAAGAATTGGAAGAGGTGGCCATCACCGAAGACGGGCTCGGTAGTCGAGCGCTCGGTGTGGGGTAACGGCCTCCGGATTTCGGGGGATGCCCCGCCGCCAAGTGGATGAGAAGCACGCAAACCTGAGCGTTAGACGTTTCCAAAGGGCACAGTGTGCGCTTCGACCAATGCCTTGAGCACAGGCAGAGGACAGCCCACTGCTGAAGCTTCCTTGTGACCAGAGCCACAGCGCGCTCCAGCTAACGCGACCGTCGACGGCGTCACGGATAGTGCGAACTGTGACGTCCGCATGTGCTTCGTTCCTGCTTGAGCGACACTTGTACATTCGGCTGAGGATTGTACGGCGATGGTACTCAATCTATGGTTTGCGACTTTGATTTCGAGCATTGTTTTTGAGAATCCAAATAGGCTTGGTGTCGTCGTCGTCGTTGTGCGCTTTGGTGAGGGAAGTCGAAGCGTGGCTCTCAGGTGTTCTTCCATCCGAGGTCTTGTGCCTTACTGTGCTGATCTCATCTGGCCCAGACCTTCCCAGCTGGGCCAATGTCTGTGACCCTCCCATTCCCCATCCCCATCCTCAACCCCCCACCCCTGGCAGTATCCAACATCATCCTTCCATCACCTGCCGTTTCGGTACGATCTCTTTGACATCGTCAACTTGCGATGGAACCGAGAATCAACGTTCTTATTGTTTAGTTTCCTTCCATTCACTAATCTTGATCTGTTCCTGCTTGCTTGCACCTTCTTCTCCATTTTGTATCCACAAGATCTACCAAGATCTACCTTGCGTCATCATCTGGCCCCCCGGTCAGTAACGAAGCCAAAGCTGCGGCATCGGGGGATTCTCCAACCCCACCCTGGCCATCCATCACAACAGCTCAGCTCGGCTCGGGTCTCAGGAACCGAGTCAAGATCGGCGGCGACGCAAGCTTGAGCTTTTTGCTTGACGGTCGAATTCAATCATATAGGTCCCTTGCCCGCCTACGCGACGGTCTGCCCACCATGGTCGTCTTTGTTGATCTAGACGACGAGGACATGGAGCCCCTTCACGTTCTCGAGGCACGCCGCTTGGCAACTGCCGCTGCTGTCGCGACTGATGCATTGGAAGCAAGCAGTCGCGAGCTCGAGCACATGCTTGAGAAGCCGGCGATTGCCCCGGCCCCGTTGGTGACACCAGCTCTCGTATCAGAGCCAACACCGACATTTCAGAGCGCTGCTACTGAGGCTTTTGGCTGCTATCCGTAAGCTCCGTTTACTACTCCCCCAGTATCACGCGCATGTGGCAGGTAGAACATCATGACTGACACCGTATCCTCCTTCGCAGCATCGTCATGTCAATAGCTGAACACATTGATCTCAACACCCTCGACAGTCTCGCCCGCACCTCGCGCCAGGTCCGCCAGGGTCTGCTGCAATACCGCTCCATCCTCCTCTCTTCGACGCTGCACTGCTCCAACGAGGCCGTCCCCGTCGACCCAGAGTCCACGTTCCGCTTTCGTGCGAGGGCTGGCAACTGGTATTACATGGAAGATGGCCGGAACTACAACGGCAAGAGCGGCAGCTGTGCCCGAGACCTGGTGACGGAGTGTCGGAGGTGCAAGACCGTCGTGTGCAGGGTATGCCGTCCTATGCCTTGCCACATGCTCTTGGCCCCATCCCACCGAGAAGCGATTCCCTTGCAGACTTGAAATGGTGGGAAGGAGTACCAAGAGCATTGAGGCAATGGCCCGGGGAGGATAGAGAGCTTTCCAAGTAAAGTTGATTGCTGACACTTGTAAACAGAACTGCGCTATCAAGCCGCCAGCCTCCAACGCTCTCCGCGAGCGCCATCGTAGGCTGTGCCAGTGCTGTACCAAGGCCCCCATCGCAACTCTCATTAATCACGCGCTGGAGCCAGAAACACCTCTGCTCGACGATGCCGTAAGACGAGAGATTTGCCGATGCGACGTTGACGGCGTCTGGCTGTGTCAGCCCTGTGGGCGGAGCATGCGCGGGGCCGATCACGACTACCAGCGGTATAGACCCTCTTCCTTTCTCAATATGCTAAAGATTTCAAGACCAGTTCTTGCTAATGTTGACTCTTCCGGCTGTAGTATCTGGAAGTGGCGGGCTCATTATGGCGAAGTCCTCGGCGGCCTGGGAACGGGTATTGGCGAGGGCGACCGTGGCGTCATCTGCGGTCGCGAGACCGCTTGCGCCGGCGCCAAAGAACGTGAGAATGAGACTGACTGTGATGCCGAGGATGCGGCCGTCACCGGCGCGAACCTTTGGACGGCCACGGACCAGGTACACCTCGACACTGTGCGATATGAGCGCACACCGAGTCCCCAGCTCGGCCCCGGGTACGAGAGGCACGAGATTGAGGGGATCGGAGGCGTCGTGAAGACCAAATTGGTCCGCATGGTGAGAGTCGGCGCATGCGTGCCCGAGTGGGACGACGAGAAGAGCCATCACAACATCCTCGGAAGAGAGGTGAAGGGCATCAGGCGGAGTTGGTGTGGCTGGTGCTACAGAGTCATTCCCGGTGAGGCTGATTTGGACAAGGCGGGCGTTACGATGCGTCAGCTTTGAGGACTGGCCTGCTTTTTTTCGGGATATTTGCTTTATAATGATTTGATGACACAACTCTTAATTCGTGACAAGGTAGTCGGGGGGTCATCATCGGGGAATCTGCCTCGAGGCAGGAATTGGATCTGACCTCGTACTGAGATGGCGAGCTGTCAGGTAAAGATGGATAGAAAAAGTTTGATAGTGCCAACCGTTATCCTACCACCTGAATACACAGGGAAATATACAAGACCCAACCCAATATAGGTCCCGTCAAGTTCATTGCCACCACCAGCAACAGCAGGCGCCCCTCTCGATCGGGAAGTCAGGACAAACTGGCTGGGTGGTGGAGCGGTTTACGATCAACAATCGTTTTATACGCCAATTGGTCTTACTTGACGACAGGCTTAGCGAGTACCCTGAGTTTGAATCCCAGCATGAGCACCGAGAGATGTAGCCTACCGAGGTGAACTCTGCTTTTGGTCCAATTTCAATTCGGTCTGCAGATACTTAATTAATGTTTGGCTGTGGACGATAGATTGGGGGGACATGGAGCTCGAATTTGGTAAAGAGGAGGATTTGCTAGGTTAGCTAGCAACATCAAAGAGGCACCCGCCCAGCAGTCGCGTTAATGAATACCTTTGATTAAACAGTCAGTTGAGAGAGGGGGTTCATAGCAGCTAGGCCAGCAGAAGGGCGTAGCAGTAGTACGCAGTCACAGGATGACATGCAAGTTGGTGCCGCAGCTATGTTTATGGAGAATTATACACGAGTTTCTATGGCCCCTTATCTTTGAATCTCTCTCTCTCATTGTACAGATTGGTTGGGAGTTTTTTTTCGGTCTCCGCGTATCGTGACCCGCCTCTATCCTACATATCTCCCAGCCGATTTTGTGACACTCCCGTAATGGTTTTGATGGTACAGAGAATAAATGTGCCATACGTCGTCCCTCCTTGACCGCTCCCCCTTTTCATCCCTTGGTGATACAGAGTCCGAGGCTTTCAACACGAAATAGCCTCGGAAACAGCAGGTCTTCCCTCCGATGCTCCTTATCTCATCGCCAGAAGTACAATGACAGCCTCAGGCGTTCCCAAGTGGTCCAGTCTTCATCCCTTTTTGACCGGGTCTTTTTTTTTTTTTTTCTTCTCTGATTTGCGTCCGGCTTCTTTTTTTTTATTTTTTACAGCTCACCCCGGAAGAGCATCTCCTTTCTGCGCGAGCGGTCTTCGCGGGCCTTTGTGCGGATACCACCCCAACGACCCTTGACGGCCTCGAGCTTCTGCGCGAGCTTTTGCGTGTGCTCCCGCGGGGCGGGCGTGCAGATGGTGATGAAGGTCTCGGAGCAGTCGAACTTGCGCGCGAGGGCCGAGACGGACCAGAAATCCGGGTCGTGGGCGCGGAGCTTGCGGATCTCGGCGACGTCGTCCTTGGAGAGGTGGTAGCGCGGGTTGGCGCCGCGGGAGGGGACGTTGAGGGCCGGGGGAAGGGGTGTTGTTGATTTTGATGAGGATGTTGCTTGTGAGGAGGAGGATGCGAAGAGGGCGGAGAGGTTTGCGCGGCGGCGGGGGTCGGAGGCCGGGAGGAACTTGAAGGGGGTGTGGTAGACGGAAGGGGCGGCGGAGGGCGGGTTGTAGATGATTGTGTCGCCGGCGGCTGGGGTCGAGGGGAGGAAGTCGGGGTGGGGAGGGATGTTGAGGGCGCGCTTTGTACGGGAGAAGGTCTTGTGGCCTCGTCGGGGGACGGTGGTAGTGGTGGTGGTTGCTTGTTGGCGGAGGAGGGATGCCAGCGTGGCGGCTGGTCTCGTCAATGTCCTGGCCTCCATTGTCGGTTATAGGTTGTGATGAAGCTTTGGAAAGAGTTCCGTGTTTCGTAGTCGTGGTCTCTCGTTCACTTTTTCCAGGACGCCGTTGAGGAGCTTGAGATGGCCAATTGAATGGTTTTCTTGAGAGAGTGTGACAGCACGGCCAGCGTCGCTTCGGCGCGAGTCTCGGATGGGTCGACTGCGGCGCTGGGGGGAGAGGCTTTGATGAGTTGGTCGCGTGCTACGGGGGAAGCTCTTTCGCGATGCTGTACGGGAGACCCTGAGGCGATGATCTGAAGTTTTTCGAACAGCCGATTGGAAATTTGGCTTAGGTAATGCAGCGTGTGGAGCGAGCTGTCCCGAAGGGGATGCTCAATTGATTAGGTAAGGGAACCTTTGTTGCCTTGCGTTTCCCTGTCACGCCTCAGGCATTTGCTTCGAGCTGGTGTCTGCTCTTATCGATAGCATCACATGACATATCACGCGTGAGACATTCAAAGGAGCTTAGAACTTAAAGACACCAAGGAAAACGGGCTGGTCCGAGAAGGTGGAGCTGATTGGATCAATGTTTCCTTGGCTTTTTCTGCCAGCGCAGCGTCGCCGGTGACGTCTGCGAAGCTTCCGGGGGCCGCCCCTTCACCTCCCGCGTTACCTCCCCCGATCCTCGCTGTCGGTTGCTCCAGTGAGAGGTAGAACAGGCGAAAGGGCGTGAGGAAGGTTCAACACAAACAAAACAAGAATGACAACTTTGAGGTTTCGGGGAAAGCATCTCGCAACCGCGGCGCGGCAATGGTATTGCTCCCGTCGGCTTTTGCTACAGTTTCCTTGTGCCCTGCTGGTGCTAGGTATTGGGAGCATCTGATGCGCCAAGGGAGTTGGTTACGTGGAGTAGTGTTTTTACCAAGAAATACCAAGAAAGAGAAAGCATCATTTCAATGCGTTATTTTCCGCAATAGTACGTGTAAAGATCTTTTCCAACAAAAGCGATTAGAAAGATTCTACTGTCATTCTACGCATTGGTGTTGTTTATGCAGAATTGACAGTGACGTGCTTCCCATGGGGCCCGGTTTCCCAGGGACCAAGTGTAAAGCAAGGCGGGAAGCCCGATTTACGCAGGGATTCGTGCCTTGCCGGCGCAAGAGGGTCTACAGCGTACAGGTAGTACAGAAGGCAAAGAGGGGTCCTGGTTGCTGAGCAGTGAGCGGTAAGTGAGAATGAGGCGGCAGAAGAGGAGCCATTTTTCGGTGCGTTTTTGGCATACCAAGTATACAAAGAAACTATGATGGAAATCTGGCTATGTATTAAAGGGTATGATTTATTTACTCAAATCAGGAAGTTGGTGGTTTTCGCCCTACTTTGTCATGACCGCTTTTTGGAAGATCCCCTTCTTTCTGAGGGAATAAGTCACGGGCGCCTGCGGCTGGCCCAGTGATGGGATCGGTGACGGGGCACCCTGCGAGTTTAATGCTTCTTTCTGAACCCCTCAGATGTTATGGAGATCACTGATGCAGAGCCCGTGGGGGGAAAGACCTGTCACAGAAGAAAGAAGACCGGGACCGAGGCTGACGAGGTGGGAGGAGGGTGGAGAGAGTGTTGGATGAGGGAGCAAGTTGAAGCCAAAAACAGGGAACGAAAAGAACTTTTTGGGGCCGTGAAGAGCTCAATGTTGGCAGAAGCCAGAACCTAGGTGTCTTCTGACTCCTCTCTGTTGCATGCTTCCCGAGTCCCGACTTTTTCGTCTGAACAGGGAATTGGGGCGATCCTCGTCGTTTCTTCGGCCATGTTCCATTAGCTACCAGTATCAAACAAACCCCCTTCAAGGATCTACTGTGTTAGAGTGTCAGCGTTTTCGGATACAATTGCAAAAGAGTCAAGAGAGAGCGAGAGGCAAGGGTACTAGGGGTTCGGTGGTCGGTGTGTAGCTTTACTTCAGACGGAGGGAATCTCCGAGAGGTTCATGGGCTGTGATGATGGGTATGCTCGAGAGAAATGCGCGAGTCAACTGACTCTGCTATAACAAACTCAGGGATTGAGCTACTGTTCCGCAGTCACCGACTTGTCGTAAAAGATAATGCGGGATGGGGATTGACAGAGGATAGAGATCAAAACGGAAGTTCAACTCAGAGAACAACTCCCCGAGAGAAACTGAGACCAAAAAAGTTGCCATTGAGGGGTCTAAGACATCAAATCTCTAGCTACTACTGCGTGCTGCATTGTGAAAGAGAAGGGGTCCAGGGTCGAGACTAGGCTGAGCTCTCCCTACGGCTACCGAAAGTTGACTAAAGGGAGAAGGGAAGACTTGGCGATGCGTCCGAATCGGGTAACTTGGAAGGCGACAAGAAAGTCAACGGGTCGCATTTGACATTCAGCCCCGTCAGGTCAGGAGGGCACAGGGAAATGAGCTCCTGTAGAACGCGTGTGAGATTAATGGTGATATCCAGTTAGAACTTGGGAGAGCGAAAGAAAAGAAAGCTACGAGAACTTTAGTCGGGCGTTCCAAACAGATTACATATTGGATACGGACGGACGAAACGCACGGACAGTCAGCCGATGTAATCCCAAATGGAACTCGAGACACGCCAAAGGGACGCCAGGCGGTCGGTCTACGGTCGTTCCTCGTTTTCCCCGCGTACCCATTCATCGCCATCGTCGTTTGTGCGACTGACTGACTGCGTGTAAGACGCTGTTTACAGCCGCCGATCGGTTCGCGCTCTTACAGTCCGCCGAGGAAATGGGAAAGAAGGACACTCAACGATTCACCCAAGGCCAATGGGGATGTGTCCGGACAGAGTTTCGACAAGTCCAGCATTATAAACCACACAATCCGTATGCCCAGTCAGATTCCCCCTGACGCCGGTTGAGGGGCCATCGGAGGCTACGGAAGTCAACGGGGGGGACTAGCGGAGGATTTCTTTTCTTAACCTGGGCCTAAACCAAGAAAGCTTAGGGGGTCACTTTGCGAGAAGACGTGACGCGGTGCCTGAGCTACACTACTGCCTGTGACAAAGATGAGCGGCGAGATGAGATCGCCCCCGGTTCGTCGATGGAGATGTCGGGCTCTGCTAAGACTTCTCCTGAGTATCTATCTATCTACCTTTTGGGGGTGGTGGTTTGTCATGGTCATTCTGGATAAGCGGCACGAGAGTCACAGAGTGAGGTAAGACACAATGCAAAGGCACAGTGAGGCTCGCGGTATCTCGCCTTACAAGCTATAGTGGGTAGATACTTGGGTAAATACTTGGGTAGAAACCCGTGCCGTGTAGGGTAAGGTACTTGGTGAAGGGCATGGTACGTAGTGGTGAGTGGTGACGGTTGGGAGAAGGAAGGGGGGCCAGACATGTCACCCGCAGCAACTTCCTTCGGCGCGGCATCACGTCAATGCAAAAACTCTAAACAACGTTGGGAGATACGGGGCTGGCGACGGGCGACGTAGACGTCGGGTACGTTGCGACATGGGAACGTGACGGGGATACCCCCCTTTTTTTCACAAGCTGCTCAGGTATTCGTACCTAGTGGGCGTTGTTGACGGGTGACTGACGGGTGACCGTTCCCCTTTGATGTTTGGTGGGAACGTTTTAGTTTCTCCTAGCTGACGGAGCAGCGTTGGGCAGGAAGCAAACAGGAACCTGCGCGAGAGCGAGACAAGGAAGGGAAACCAAAGTATCCCGTAACTTATCCATACTTTTCTTACCTTCCCTTAGGTACTCCGTAGAGTGTAGTGTAAATGGACCGAAAAAACATGATCTGCTGACTGCCGAGAAGCGACGCGAAAGCTGCTCCTGACAGGCGATAATAGCTGCCCCTTCCCCAGCATGTTCTTTCCTTTCGCTCCTAGATTCGCATTTCCCAACGCTTCCATTCCCGAATAAATCTGTGTATCCGTATCTTAATGTTGCATCTGTTGCATCCAGCACTCTTGGTACAACCTCATTAGACAGACGTCCACCGCCTTGCACGCATCTATCAGCACCGCACCCGCAATCCGCCTCACCGGAGACCAAAAAAGCAATCCATCTAATCCACCAAATAACGGGACCAACCCATCTGCCTTATCCAACCGAACTCGTCTCTTACGGAGCATCTCCAGGTCTCCAACCACCACAAGCAAGGCACAGCAGACCCAGGCCTGGGCCTCTCTTACAGATCAGCACCACAAGGCTCCTGCAGCAGGGGTAAAATCACCAGGAAACCGCCAATCCGCTTGCTCATCGTCTGGACCTGTTGCGTCACACGCTCCCACCTTTCTCTCTCCCCCAGCTTCCTAAGTCCTCGCTCGTCAATTAGGGACCGCTTCTCGAGGCCGTCTTTATCGAGCGCCAATTTTCGAACGAGACTACTGGCTACAATATCTTGTCTGCGTGCGTGCCTGCGGCAGAGAAGCGATTCGATCACCCCTCTTCCTCCTTGTCTCTTCATCGTCTTCGACTAAGAGACAGAGAAAGAAAAAAAAATAGTGACACAGCAAGCGGTAGACGATCCTAAAAGGGATCAAGACCAAAACCAACGCGGACGACGAAGACAGACACCTGACTGTGTGTCCTCCAACAACGCCATCAACCCAAAAAAGACCAACGCCGTTCCGTGTAAATCATCCCATTTCTCCATTGATCACGAGTCTCAACGGCTAGTCCGCTTCCATTCCCCAAGTTCTGCACGCAGGGGACCTGCGCACATTCTCGGTTCAACTCCCTTGGTGTTGCGCTGCTCTGCTATTGAACCGTTCTGGTATGTACATCTCGATACTATTATCCCACTCCTCGGATATCCCATGCCCACCACACCCCCAACACCATCCCAGCCCATGTACTCTCTGTACCGTTCAGGTAAAAAAAGAACATTTTGGTGTCTTTGCCGGGGGTGTCTCCGTCGGCGGCGCTGTTACCTGCTGCGGACGGCGTGCGCATGTATTGCTTGCTTGCTGCTGCCGATGCGCTGCTCTTTTTTTCTGCCTCGCCGACTGGACGCTCCTGTGACAATCAATCACCGCACTCGCACACTTGCACCCCCTTCCACTTTCCCCT